GTTTGATGCAAAAACGCATGATCGCACCGGCTCACCTGGTGCGTTCCAGCCTGGGTTGCATTTGCAAATATGCAAAACGCTTAAACAACCATAAAGGAAGCTTGTGCTTGCACGGCATTTTGAAGCTAAAAATGAAAAAAAAATATTAGTTTTGAATTGGCCCTCTAGGATAGAACCTTTAGAATTCGCTCCATTACATCTGATTCCCAATAAAGGGAATTTGTAGTTGCCAAATTCATAGCAATCTTCATAACCGCGATATCATGTGTTTTAATGTGTTCAACAAGAACCACCAACCCATTGGCTCCTAGATTAATAAAATCGATACCAGTTACGCGTCTTTTTGAAAATTCATTGTTACAAATTAACCTCAAAAGTGCAACACAGTCGTTTAGATGGGTTTAGAAAATTTGGGGACGCATTCAGATATTTCTGCTAGAAAATCTCACATGAGTTAGCTGGAAAAAAACCATTTGATTCTTTGCTTTAGCTGCATCAAACTTAGTTCACCTATAAAATTAAACCAGAGCTTTGAAGACCATTGGTATATAATTGCTGCTGTCAGGTCACAGGACAAGCGCTGAACAGAATGTTAGGTACCTGCTCCGATGATTTTCTTCACTTTCCAATTATCAATAATCGCTCTGTTGATGATATAATCAGCAAGACGTTTAGTATGAGGATTATCCGGCACAAAACTATCATTTTCGCTGCTTCTAAATTTTTTCCTGAATCAACGCTCAGAAAAAAAAAACCGATAAATATTGAACGGCCAACAAGCAAATATTTCAACTTTAAAAAATTTTACATGAGTTAACTGAAAAAAAAAAACGCATCATTTTGAACAGGTAGTGCCAGTTTGAACAAACAGTTGTCCGCACAGAGGCTGCCGATGCAATTACGCGTTTTACGGTTTTGTACAACAATGAAATTGTCAGCTGTGGAAACAATGGGATGAGCAATAATGAGATTGTTGGAAATATTCTAATTGTATGTTTATTTCACATTCGGAAGAGAGAATCATCGAACCAGATAGTACTGTCTTGTGGAGCCTGCGAAATTTTAGACTCTTATTCTTCAATAACCGCTTTCTTTTCGGTCTCGCTTATATAGAAATTCAGCAGCGAAGCGCAGCAGGGGTGGTAGTACTTTCTGTAGTCAGCTAATCGTGGATAGAAAACATCCTCCTAAAGCTTGAACTCACCTGGTTCTTGTGTTAGCAGTTTTCCCACCAAAATTTCCGAGTGTACATAGGTGGAGCTCAGGCATGCGTGGAAGTTGTTACCACGTTCCTGGAGTCACGCTTGGCCAGAAAATCCAATGGTAGAATTTCAGCATCTAAGCTTGCCTTGTTGTCGAATTGAAATACCCGGATAGATAGACAGACAGACAGACAAACACACACTTGCACAAACATAAACACTGTGGGTCGTCACAATATGCGTTTTTGCTGGCTATTGCAGCACTATAGTGCTGCGCCGCACAAACGTATAATAAGCTTGTTTCCTGCCTTTTTTTTCACCCGCGTACACTGCTGTGTCTGTATTTATAGATGGAGGAGGAAACACAGACTGCATTCCGACTTGTCTCTTCACTACAAAATCGCAACTTCAATCATGCTGATCTTAAACTTTTAACATGTTTAAATCGCCGTGGAAGGAGGATGTCAATAATTTTGCAAATGAAACGTTGATGTGTAAAAAGGCCAGACACTGGCGTAGGTGGAAAGTTTTTTTGTTCGGGTACCACACAAGACAAAAAATATCTAGGAAAATGTGCAGCTCTCTGTTCAGTTTGGTTCCCCAATTAAAGAGTTAAAAAGATGCCAACAGTGTCTCAAACTGAACTTTTACACGACACCTAAAAATACTATGGAGCTGAATTTCAAGCTTTAAGGTTACACATGAATAGAGAAGAACATCGTGAAAACCTAAATTTCAATCTCGTATATCCGCAAAATCATTTCATTTTCTCCTCTAAAGAACTTCCGAATTTTTTAAAGCGGTTGTGCGTGATAGCAGACATGTGTAAGAGTGATTATTAGTCTATGGGATCAAACATGGACCGGAAACGTCCTTGTAGAACTGCAGTTTCCAGATCGTACCAGTCGTTAACCGACACTCCTTTCTTACCACTTGCAGCAAAAGACCCAAATTACTGCCAACATGAGTGCACACGTTTAAGAGTAAAACAACAATTATTTATACTGTTCACGGTCTGAATGCTTCAAGATTAGCACAAAAAAGCAAGATTAGCACAAAAAAGCAAAAAGCATAGGAAACCCCCGTACGCATTCCTAGCTGGGTTGCATTTCATCTACCGAAATGCATAAAAATGCACTTGCATGTAAGTTCAGAAATAGAGGGATATTTTGAAAGTCAGATTATTGTGCGCTTACTCTTCTCTCGACATCTTCAGCTGCCTTCCAGATGAAATCAATTAGCAATAATGCGATTTTCTAGCCCTTAGCATATTTATATCATTTCAGAGCTTTGACAGGATGCTCTTGATAGACCTGCTCACTGTTGTGGCCAGTATTCTGTAGGAAAGCGGTGAGGAAATTTTTATGCGTTTTCAAGGTGCAACGCCCTGCTAAAAACATATCGCATCTGAAATCTGGATGCGATATGTTTTTAGCAGCACATGAGATACAGAAGGGCTGGAAATCTCATTTTACTATCACGAGCACACCAGTGGGCGACAAGCAATGCTGCAAAATTACAGCTCCTTACAACTTTTTAGACAACTTAATTCTCGAGCCGACATGGTGCCAATTTAAACTTTGACGTGTGCGTACGTGAGATCTAGGGTTGCGTGAAGTCTGAATTTAAAATCTTCGAACAAACGTAGACAAGGAGCATCTTTGTGAAGTTTTAGCCTTCTAGCTTGCGTGTTCCATCTTTCACGCGCCACGTGAGAGTGAGCGGTCATTTTGAGAACAGGGATCCGCACATAAGTATAGATTATGTTACCAAAGTTTCAGCCTTGTAGGTTTCGAGATGAAAACTCGGTGCAGACGCACGCACGGAGACACACAGGCAACTCCACGACAATATGCATTTTTGCACTAGACAGAAATACATAAGAATTATGGCGCAGCTATCTCTGATGCTCGTAGACTTAAACGGGCGATGGATGCTTTTTCTTCTTGACGCACGCAACTTTCGGAACAAAAATTATATGAGGAGCTGTTTATAATTTTAGGTAAATTTTCTTGGATACTGAAAAACATTCAAAGACAAAAAAAAAATTGGTGCTATAATCGAGATATGATTAGAGATGATGGCGTCGAGCACAGCGACCACAGGCAGGTGACCATAGATGGGAAGACAAAGACAGCGATGAACAGGCTTATACTGGTCATGAGCATCAGAAAGACACCGATTTCAAAGAATGCTTGGGTTGAAGCGCCGATCAATGCCAACCCCGCAACAAATGATGAGGCAGCAGCCAAAAGCACCGGCACGCCGACGATCGACGTCACCGCACTGAAAAAGACAAAATTACATTGAGCATGACTTATCGTCAGAAATTTTGATCAGTTCCTGGTCTATTCAACACAGGCAAAAGTCCAGTAGTACTTCATTAGAGCTGCTGGAGAGAGGGGATGTTTCTTTATGAAACACTGTTAAAAGTCCCTCTTATAAAAAGTAGCATGTAGGTTAAGACTAATACTTATAATGTTCATTTTAGTGGCGATCTTGGGTTCCGAAGACAAGGAGGGTAAAGGCACAGGTAAAAAGCACCTCAGTTTGGAGCTCCCTGCCAAAGAAGCAGTTCCTGCAGAAAATGTGACTACTCGCCTACTCAAAATAATTGGCCAACGTATGGGCTATCTGTGCGAAGATGCATTTTTTGCATTGTTCTGCGCAGAACAATGCAAAAAAAATTTTTTCGGCTAATCCTTCTAGTTTAACAAATTAAGACTGACCGCCAAAACTGGCAGAAAACACCCCCTTAAAATTTCAGCTTTCTAGCTTTTCTGGCTCCTGAGTTAGCAACTTACTGGAAAA